CTGCAGTACAGTGTCCTGGAATGCTAAAATCTCTAAGGTGCTAAACGAAGGGACAACTCAAGACTGTGGCGCTCCTCTCCCACAGCGAAACAGAGAAATCTTTAAGAGGGTGCCGAGCCCTAAACAAAGCTCTGTTCTTTTTTTTTTTTTTTTAATTTTTTTTTTAATGTTTTTTTATTTATTTCTAGGAGAGAGAGAGAGACAGCGTGAGCAGGGGAGGGTCAGAGAGAGAGGGAGTCACAGACTGAAAGAGGCTCCAGGCTCTGAGCTGGCAGCACAGAGCCCGACGTGGGGCTCGAACCCACGAACCGTGAGATCATGACCTAAGCGAAAGTCGGACGCTTAACCGGCTAAGCCACCCAGGCGCCCCACAAAGCTCTGTTCTTAAAGTAACTTCTTCCTTCTTTTTCCCCCAGCTCCTTCATTCCGTTCCTGCCCTTTCTTCCCCTTTCTCCTTCTCTCCCCTTCCTTATTACTATCTATCTTCAAATTAAAATTAGAAGCAAATCACAGGGGTATGTTTATTTGAATAAAGAATAAAGTCAGACTTTTCCTGACAAGGTCAATCTAGTTTTGACAATGAGATCTAGTTTTGTAAAATGGGTAACAAATTCAACATTTTCCATAAATTAAACAAGGTAAGTGTGCAGATCCAAAGATTTAACAGAAATATATTTAAGTCAGGACACCTGGGTGGCTCAGTCAGTTAAGCATCCAACTTTAGCTCAGGTCATGATCTCACAGCTTGTGAGTTTGAGCCCCAGCTCAGAGCCTGGAGCCTGCTTTGGATTCTGTGTCTCCCTCTCTCTCTGCCCCTCCCTGCCTGCACTTGCTCTCTCTCTCAAAAATAAACATCAAAAAAAGAAATATATTTAATTCATATTAAATATATAATATATTAATATTAGATTTTAATATTTATACATATTAATATAAAGAAATATATTAAAAACTACATATTAATATATGTAACATAATATTCCAGTGATAATATATTTTGCAACTATTGAAACTCATGAAAAATATTAGATATAAACGTTAAAATACAGACTACAATACACAATTATTCAAAAATTGCAGGGGGTATTTGAGCAAAATGTTTGCAGACTACTGCTCTGGAATCCCCAGTATTGCTTACCTAACACTGCACTGCCCAGCCAGTAACAGCAAATGTACCCAGCCTCACTCAGAGGTGAGAGAGATGGCAATTTAGTCTACAACTAGACCCCATCTTCTTAGCCCTCAGATTTAAAAGTCTGATAGAACCCAGCATTTGTGAAGCTGTGGGGAAACAGGTTAATAAGAGTGAATATTTTACGTGGGTTGAACTAGAGTATATTATGCTAAGCAAAATAAGTCAGAGGAAGATATCGATCATATGATTTCACTCAGATGTGGAATTTAAGAAACAAAACAGATGAGCATAGTGGAAGGGAAAGAAAAAGAAAAGAAAAGAAAAACAGAGGAGGAGGCAAACCATAAGAGACTCTTAACTATAGAAAACAAACTGAGGGTTGCTGGAGGGAAGGGGGGGACGGGCTAAATGGATGATGGGCACTAAGGAGAGCACTTGTTGGGATGAGCACTGGGTGTTATATGTAAGTGATGAATCACTAAATTCTATTCCTGAAATCATTATTACACTATATGTTAACTAACTTGGATTTAAATTAAAAAAAAAAAAAAGAAGAGGGAACATTTTGTCAAGACTAACTTGACAGGCCAATTACAACTTAAAATGTTCACAACCTTTGGTTCCTGGAAACGTGAAAGACGACACATCAAACTGTTAACAATGGTTATATCTAAGGGGATGGGATTTGGAAAATTTTATGCTTTTTAAAGTTCATGTTTCTGTAAAGTTTGAAGTTTTTACAAAAGAGAACAAGAAAAAAATTGCATACACCTAAGGTATGATGGCTGAAGTCCAAAAATTAGCTATTTCTGGAATATTAAAAGGAAATTTAAACAACAGGTAATAAGATTAGATGGCATATAACATTGCTTTCAAGCCTAAATTCTGATACTTTTGGAATTAAGAAATAATTTTTATTTTTAAAAAACATTTTTTTATGTCTTCATTTTATTTTGAGAGAGAAGAGAGTGAGCGGGGGAGGGGCAGAGAGAGACAGAATCTGAAGCAGACTCCAGGCTCCAAGCTGTCAGCACAGAGCCCGACATGGGGCTCGAACCCATGGACTGGGAGATCATGACCTGAGCCGAAGTCGGACGCTTATCCAACTGAGCCATGCAGGTGCCCCAAGAAATAATTTTTAGAGGCCATGCCGTGTAATTCCCTATGCAATTCACAAGTTCTTTCGACAGCATCCTTAGCAAGTAGTTAAACCTCTTAAACATGTATAATCTCCAGTTTTAGCCCAAACCCCACATTATTCTGTCTTTATGTCTTTAAATATTACTTGTATATCTTAAACCATATCATGGATTAATCGTTTATCATGGTTTATCTGAAATAAAATCTAATGAAATGAAATGTAGATGTTTCTCCATTTTGTCATATTATAATCTTTGAAAACTTATCCCTGACAGACAAATCAAATCATTCACATTAATGGGGTGCTTGGGTGGCTCAGTCAGGTAAGCGTCCGACTTTGGCTCAGGTCATGATCTCCCAGTCCATGGGTTCCAGCCCCACATCGGGCTCTGTGCTGACAGCTCAGAGCCTGGAGCCTGTTTCAGATTCTATGTCTCCCTCTCTCTCTGCCCCTCCCCAGCTCGTGCCCTCTGTCTCAAAACTAAATAAATGTTAAAAAAAAATTTTTTTTAAATAATTCACATTAATGCATTTGGTTATATACCCATAATAATTCTTGTTGCTACTAGACAGTGAGTTACCTACTGCTGTGTTGAGAAGTTGGCAGAACACAAGGTTGGCAGTTAGCCACCAAAAGGAGCTACTAAATAAGGAAGTCAAGTAAGAAGGAAAATACATGTGTAATTAATATATCTACTCATGAAGGGAAAAGGAAAAATATCAATTGAAAACAAGAGAGCAAACCATATGCATATTAAGAACCTTCTGGGGCACCTGTCTGGCTCAGTCGGGAGACCCTTGATCTCAGGGTCATGATTTTGAGCCCCATGTTGAGGATAGAGATTACTTAAATAAAACTTGGAGGAACAAAACAAGAACCTTCTATAAGAATTAAAGGGAAAGTTCAGAAGAGGGGAAATAAATAAAAAGTAGAAGAGGGGCGCTTGGGTGGATTAGTTGTTTAAGCATCCAACTCTTGGTTTTGGTCATGATCTCATGGTTGGTGACATCGAGACCCATGTTGGGCTCTGTGCTGACAGCGCAGAGCCTGCTTGGGATTCTTTCTCTTCCTGCCACTCTGCCCCCCTCCCGCTCTCTCTCTCACAATAAATACATAAACTTTAAAAAAGTAGGTGTTTTAAAATACCTTATTGTACAGTCTTAAAGAACAAATTGGTGTCATGTATTTTTATTATTTTTTTAAG